AGTATATCCAATCGTTATCGCCTTTTGTTGTAGTTGTAGCCAGTGTTGACGACATCGAAGATTGTACAATTGTTTTTATTAGATAACGAAATACACAGCAAAATTTATATTTAAGGATGGATCGGCCGACGACGAAGCCAAGCCCTAGCTACATACATAGTTACTTAGATTGGGAATATAATGAGTAGATAATACATGGGAAATAGGTAAAAATAAAGATATAGATAAAGGTCTACATAATTCTTAAAGGAAATAGATAAACTTTATATTTGGTTTTGTGGATTTTATATATTTCAATATTATTAATTATTTAAGTAGCTGAAATATAGCAATAAAAATCACTTAGAAAAAAGTTTTATATAAATAACTGTAATATTATACTTTTACTATAGAGAAAAAGCTTTTAAAAACTATCTTTATGTTTATAATTTTCTATTAAATAGGGTCTAATCGCTAGGTGATTTTAGATTTTAAAATTTCAGAGGTCTGTCCTTACCCTAGATTCTACTAGTTAAGACAACCCTTAAATGTTGTGAAATATATAATTTATATGAGAGAATAGTCGCTACTTAAAAGTTTGTAATAAATAAAGATCCATGGACTACTTGCTGGTATCTTATAAATAAAGATCCTGTTTATTCTACTTGAAAGAATCCTATAAATATGGACTCCACTTTAAAGTGTCTTATAAATAAAGATCTATGGGTACTTAAGTATACAAAATCTTAAAGAAGAACTTGGTAATCCTCGAAATACATAACTTAACATCAAATGAAGTTCTTTTACAAACTAATTAAAGCATTTCATAATATCCTGGAAATACTATAGTACTTGAGAGTAAAATTAAGGAATATAATGTTCCAATAAAATCTCCAATATAACCTAAGATGATACCTAAAGCCTAAGATCTAATGAAAATGATAAGCTATAGATTTAAAATCTTCAAAATGCACTCCCTAATATTTGTAATATTCAATTTAATTCATCCAACCTGGACTTGGACCTATTATAACTCATAATCAGATGTTAGGCCTGTAACTATAAGATCTCATTGTAAATGTGAAAGAACCAAAGTTCTTCAAGATTTCTGTGGGTTTGTTGCCTTATTGTTGTTGCTTCGTTATCGCCTTTGGCTGGGCGACGTCGTCAACATTTGCAAATGACGTCAAATGTTATAAAGAAATTTTCTGTTGGTATATACATATGTATATAATATGGAGGTAGATATATGTATACATCTATATAGTGGCATATATATATGTACAAGAATCGGCTTTGTGCACTGGCGTAACTGGATAGCCGCTTTAACTGCCATTTTTTCCATTCTTATCATAATGTGCTGTTCGATTTGGGTTTTATTTTTTCTGTTCGAATCGGCTCGAATCGTTGAGTTTCGAATGGATCGCCTTGGCTAACCGACTCTGGGCGGTTTTCGGTCCATCCATCCAACCATCCATCGCAGCTCCATCGGCTTGAGATGCCGCAGATGGAGCTGCGGTGCTGCCCAGATGCCAACACGCTCCAACAATGCCTACTTAGCCTCCGTCTGCCGTTCGTGTGCCATGTAACACATGGCACATACACATGTATTCAATTTAATCAATTTTGATTGATGTGTGCGCATTACAGCGTGATGTAGCGGTGCAACCAAAAGCAGCAACAGCAACAGCAACAGCAGCAGCAGCAGCAGCAGCAGTAGACGTCGAAAGGCCAAAGGCCTCCAGCAGCAACGAAGCGATAATACCCTGATCAAGGGTATTATCATCATCCAAGAACACTACATTTTATAGGAGGTATTTGGGTTTATCTATTTGTTAAAAGGTTTATTCAAAAACTATATAAAAATGGGGTAATTTCAATGAATAGGATAATTAATTGATTGGAAAATGTTTAGTTTCAATTATTTGATAGAGAAATCTTTAGGTTAACTGCAGAAACATAGAATAAAGAATTGAATTTATTTAATGTATATAAATATATATATTTAAAACAATCTTTTACCATATTAAATTAAAATATAATTAACAAAAAGTTTATATATTTAAAGTAAATAGAAAAGCAGACATAATTTAAAATTCAACAAGTTATATTCATAGTTGAAGGTTTCCTTTGAAAGTAAACAATATTAATGTCATAAAATAAAATCCCAGTTATTTTCAAAATGTATTACTTAATACTTTACTTAAATTATAGAATTTTGGTATTAAAATATATATTTATCTATATATTTTTTCTAAACTTCTTATTTATATTTGCTTCATTTCTAAAATTAGACTACTTTCCAAGGCCTTTTCACATGCTCGTGTTAGAAGTTTAGCTCTTGACAGGTGCTCTAATTATGGGGCAATGGGTTTTTCTCAATTTGCCAGGAATATGTGAAACTCTTACTTAATTGCCCTTTCCATAACTTTGTTTGATTTATGGTTTAAAATATAGCTTAGATGAATTTCTCACCAACACAAGTGCTAAGCACTTCTATTTTTAGGCGCTTTAACAGGTTGCAATAGATTAGATGGAAAAGTTTTAGGAACTTATTAAGTTACTCACTCTCTCTCTCCCTCTGTGATATCACTTTGACATAGTTAAACCTATATTATAGTTATCAAATTGATATAAATATTATCTTTTCAAAAGCAACAATTTAATGCCTTTTAAATTGCAAAAGTGACATTCAGGCATATCACTTAAGATCATAATGATCTCTTGTCACGTCAAATTGCTGAAAATAAACATTTTTAATAGGGTTTATTACATTATATTGGCTTGGCAGAGTATTTGGCTGTCTATCAGCTTGGAGATAGAGATTCCAATCGCTCGTTATGATCGCTCACCTCACAGACCTGTCAGTGGCAGAGAAGGAGACCCAATGGGTTGGAGTAGGACAGAGGAGGAGACTGGTGTGATTTTAGGCCCGAACGGGTTCGCAAATGTGTGCAGAAATCAAAATGCAGTGTCAGCTCCTTGTCTGATTCCTCCTCCTCCTCCTCCTCCTCTTGGCCAACTCCCTCTGCAACTCCTCCTACATTTCTGTGTGTTTCCCAGTTGCATTCGCCATCAGTTCGACGCGAGACCGCTCCCCGGATGCACTGAATCGAGTGCCGCGGGGCCAGATTCCATGTAAGATGTCCGTGTGCGCCCTCAGTCAGCCACAGAATCCGAATCCGAATCCGAGTCCCAATCCGAATTCAAACTCAAATCAAAAGCAAAAGCCACCGCCCCAGCGACCCACCGGTATCAATCTCAACGGCAAGGGCAAGGGCAAGGGCAAAGGCTCTGTAACTCCACCAACGCCACCACCCTCGCCGCAGGTACGGATTTACGAGGACTTTGACAGGATGAGCGCCAAGGAGGTGTACTACAATGAGGCGGGCAAGAAGGTGACCGTAAAGTTGCTTCACTTTCCCGATGTGCCGCCCGAGGAGATCGCCAAGCTGAAGTTTGCCGACGACGACGACGACGATGATGATGATGATGAGGACGATGAGGATAGTGATACCGGACGGAAGCCCACCTCGGCGGATAGCGAGGATGCGGGTAGTGAGGCGGAGCCCCCAAAGGGGCAGACGGAAGCTGAAAATCCAGCTACGAATTCCACCGGTGGTCCGTCCAACGTCCGGAAGATCTTTCGACGCAAGTTATCCGGCAATAATATGCAGCCCAGGAAATGCAGCCTGGCCTTTGCCCAGGCCCATGGCATCCGGCAGCGGGCGGAGAAGAAGCTATCGATGCCCACCATTAGCATAACAGCGAACTCTGGTGACCATGTGGCCAGTCATAATTGTGGCCTCCGTTTGGGCCTTGGGCGGAAGCTATCGCAGCAGCATTCCCTGCCTTTGAGCTCACCGGGATCTCCACCGACTCCTCTGGGACCCAGGCGTTCTCATTCTCCGCTGGGACAGAGTCTGTGTCCCGGTTACATCCAGTACTCCAAGTCGCTGCTGGAGGTGCCAATGCCCAGGGATTATGGCTATGCCAGCAGTGATGATCTCAGCTCTGAGTGGGACTCGGATGTGTCCACCTCGGCGGCGGGTTCGGCAACGGGATCGGGTTCCTCCTCTCAGGCTGCATCGGGCAGTAGCAGCAAGAAGGTACGATTGGTTAAAGGAATACATATATTTTGTATAATTTCAGGATCTGTGGTTAATGTTATGTAATTTTCAAGTTCAATTGGTTCCGGAGAACTTTGTGCGAAGCAACATTACCTTTGGGCCCACATGGCGTATGAGTAATTTTTGCACTATATTACGTATACGACATGTGGTCCTGGTATAAGTTATGTTTTTATGGAATTTTCTCTGCAGTTTTCAATAAATTGATATGATTTATGATAGATTAAAAATAAAACCTTAAAGTCAGGCAACTATTCATACATATTTTTACGAATTTAAAGAGAAAGGTAAACCTAAGTTCATAATCAGTATTACAACTTATTATTGACTCCAAAATCAAATGATCATCCAACTCTCACCAGATTTTTTTAGTGTATATATATGACCGATTTAAGATCAGGTGATGACAACTCTGTTAAAAAAATAGTCAGCTGTCAGCTGCATCATTTAACAATGATATATTTTCCCCTGCCCTAAAAAAAACATTTAAACTAGAAAGAGATTAATTAGTAGGTTAAGAGGTTTTCTTATTTACTTAACAAGTATCTTTAAAATCAAGGCAAAACCCATCTGGAATATCTTCCACTGAACTTGAACACAATTTAAATGGAAAGGAAACTCAGTGTATAGATTGTAAACAATTCTCTGTATACAATATCGCGTAAATAATTAAATCACAGAGCAACAGGCCAGCAATTTGCGATGATTAACTTAAATTAATGTTAATTAAACGTTTGCGTTCAGCTTTAATTCAATTTCAGTGAGTGGTCTGCAAGTTATTTTTAGGGGAAATTTATATTTTATTATCTAGGAATTGTTTCTGCTATAATAATAATATATGTATTATATAGAATTTGAAACTAATCCCATTAACACTTTGACTTTTTGCAGAGCTCTGGCTGGCGTAAAATCCGGAACATTGTCCAGTGGACGCCCTTCTTCCAAACGTACAAGAAGCAGCGATATCCATGGGTTCAGCTGGCCGGACATCAGGGCAACTTTAAGGCGGGTCCCGAGCCGGGCACCGTGCTCAAGAAGCTATGTCCCAAGGAGGAGGAGTGCTTCCAGATCCTCATGCAGGATCTACTCAGACCCTATGTGCCTGTCTACAAGGGTCAAGTGACCAGCGAAGATGGTGAACGTGAGTATACTAGAGATCCTGCCTTGGTTTTAATCCTTCTTAATCCTGGGATCTCTCTGGCAGTTTATCTCCAGCTGCAGGATCTGCTGAGCGACTATGTCCAGCCGTGTGTGATGGATTGCAAGGTGGGCGTTCGCACCTATCTGGAGGAGGAGCTGTCCAAGGCCAAGGAGAAGCCCAAGCTTCGTAAGGATATGTACGACAAGATGATCCAAATCGATGCCAATGCCCCCACAGCTGAGGAGCATGCGGCCAAGGCGGTGACCAAGCCACGTTACATGGTCTGGCGGGAGACCATCTCCAGTACAGCAACGCTGGGCTTCCGCATCGAGGTAAATTCCCATGGAAATCTTGAAATAAAAATGAAAATATACCCCCCTTTGGGGCTTTTATTAGAAGAAAATTGTACTAAATTGCAGTGAAAATTGTATAATTTCACTTTTCTTTTGAGCATGAAATATTTATTTATAATTCACTTATTCGCAGGGCATCAAGAAAAGCGATGGCACCAGTTCCAAAGATTTTAAAACGACCAAGTCACGCGAACAAATCAAGTTGGCCTTTGTCGAGTTCCTCAGCGGTCATCCCCACATTCTGGTAAGGATTTAATCGATTTTACTTCGAGTTTATGCCATAAGCAAGTCATTATCTAATTAATTATCCAAGAATTGGAAATTAAATGAAAATTTAAAGAAGAAGGTAAACTACCTACGGGAAACCGTGCCTTGCATCGAGTTTAAAAATAATCATACCTAAATTAAAAATAATTGTATTCTTCAAACCAATCATTCTCGATATTTTTACATGACTAATTTTCTATAAAATCAAAGTTTAAAACACTCATAACTCAGCCAAAAAAGCATTAATTTCAATTCGGAAATCGGTCCAATGTTAGTTTTTGTTAGATTAACAAATCTGCATACTTAACTTAGAATTTAAAAAAAATTCAAACTTTTGAGCTTTTTACGATGTTACCCCTTTGTTTTTTAAAAAAAATTTGTTTTTTGCCGGAGATGGCTAGAAAGATTCGCCTGTTAATGCTGATCAAGAATATTTATGATTTATAGGGTCGGAAATGACTCCTTCACATTATTACAAGCTTCTGACTAAAATTATAATACCCTGCAAGGGTATAAAATAATTTTCAAGAATCCCTATCATCAAAGCTATATTAATTCTTCCTTCTTCCTTATTCCCTACTAATTAATTTATTTAATTTATTTATTTCACAGCCCCGATACATTCAGCGTCTACGCGCCATACGCGCCACCTTGGCGGTCTCGGAATTCTTCCAGAGCCACGAAGTCATTGGAAGCTCCCTGCTCTTTGTCCACGACCAGAACCATGCCAGTATATGGCTGATTGACTTTGCCAAGACGGTGGAGTTGCCGCCGCAGCTGCGCATTGATCACTATTCCGCCTGGAAGGTGGGCAACCACGAGGACGGCTATCTCATCGGGATTAACAATCTCATCGACATCTTTGTGGAGCTGCAGGCCGCCATGGAGGCAGAGGCGGAGGCCGAGGCGGAGGCCGAGGCGGAGGCCGAGGCGGAGGCGGCCGTTTCCGGTCTAGATCAGGAAAGGGACCAAGACGATAACGATGACGACGGGGCCGAGGGCAAGCCCTGATCGGTTTTTTATATGGGGTTTGGGGCTGGGCCCCAATTCAAGGACATTTCCATATCCCGCATCGCGCAATTAATCCCCCAAAAAAATCCTAGGCTAAGTTCCCTAGTTCTTCTAGCCCCTTTTTTTTTGTTTTTTTTTCATAACTACTATTTGTCAGCATACATTTAACCCATTAAGTTTAAAATCAAAGACTGAAACCACAATTTACGCATATATATGGGAATTATAGTGCGTATATCCCATATATCCTAGCTTAGACGTGCTGCTGCTGCTTCTGCTGGAAGCGCTCTGTGTCGCCGTTCTGTAGTGTTAATTTATTTATCCAGATAAAGTCGAATGAATTCCCGAGAGAACTGACAAAATAGTTGGAGCAGAAGCCGCAGACAGTGGGAACTGTTGGATCGAAGAGTAATTGAGGAAGCCCCAACACGCAACATGCAACAAGAACTTAGCTTAAGTTAATAATATTATATTAATGCGACTACCTACTAAATACTACTAATTTGTGCACTATTAAATTCAGTTAAACCAGAAGCACCAAGCGTTTTTCTCTTATCTAAAGGGATTTTTAAATGCAAAACATAAGAATGTGTTCTTGTATTGAATTCACATATAAAATACATTTGAAAGAGCTTTTAAAACCCGCGCCTATTAAACTTGGTCTAAAAAAATATACCAATTACCGCTGTCAAGAATTTCCTAGTATAATTTCACTTTTACGCAGCTGGTCACACTAAAGTGGCAGATGACCACCGTTTTCAACAGCCAGATTGAAGTTTCTTATCGATATCTTCAACCTTCAATGCTTGACAAGAAATTATCGAAATTTCGATAGATATTTTTCCCATCCCTAAATGGGACAGCATCTGTGCATCAAAATTCTGTCGAAAACAAAAAAAAAGTGTCAGAAATTGCATTTTAAAAAAGCCGGTGCAATTCGAGCAAAGTATCCTTTAATCAGACGACAGAGTTAGGATACTATTACGGTCAAACCACTAAATCCGGGAAAATGATGAGCGGCAAATCGGGCGGAGGCCCCAGTGCAGTGGTAGTGCTCAACTGCAGGACCTGTACGCGGGCCTGCAAGCAGCACAAGCCGCTGCAGGAGGAGATCGAACTGGGCGCGGAGGGCAGCACCACTTTGGCTCGAATGCTTCTATACTGTTCCGGCTTGTCCTTCGAGCCGCAGGACGGCGCTGCAATGCCCCAGCACATCTGCCTCAACTGCCTGCAGCTTCTGGAGCAGGCTTTCAACTTCAAGCGCATGGTAATTGATTCGGACGAGCTGTTGCGCATCGGCTTAGACGAGGTCCACGGAACCAGTCATCACCAGCAACAGCAGCAGCAGCAGCAGCAGCAGCAGCAGCGTCATTCGAATCAAGAGCCACCTCCGCAGCAGCAGTGTAACGATACCAACGAGGAGTATGTAATGATTGAGATGCTGAACGAGGAGCAGGATCCATGCACTGTAAGCACAGTTTGATTTATTGTTGAAATCATTGAGAAAGTACAGAATACTACCCTTTTGTTCAGATTACGGAGCAAGATGCTGAAACAGAACAGGAGCATTTGCACTCGAAGCTTGAAATGGTGGAGATTACCAGTGGCGATGCGGAGGAGTTTGTCATTGAGGAAGTGGCCGAAGAGGACGAGGGGCTGCCGGATGACGAGGAGGGGCAGCAGCACACATTAGCGGACAACGCGGTGGAAGAGCACATCACCATGGAGGGCGTACATGAGTTCCAGCCCGCCGAAGTGGAATATGTAACGATTAAGAACGAATACGAAGCATTAGTTACCGAGGAGGACGAGATCGAAGTCATGGACGAGTCGGGCGCCCATGGCGAGATCATTGAAGGTCAGATGATTGTGATACCCGCCGAGGGAGCCATAGACGAGGTCATCGCCGAGGAGACGCTCGAAATGGTTGAGGACGAACGCGAAGAACATTTGGTAGGTAGATTACCGAAGGAAATTACTTAAAAGATCCGACTTACCATAAATTATGTATCCTTCTCCCACAGTTGCCTGAAGCGGACGATGTCTGCACCGAGGAGGACTTCCTGGAGGAGTCTTTGGACTCCACACAAATAACTACGGCCGAGACCCTGCCGTACATGTGCCACATATGCCGCAAGCCGTTCCGCCAGCAGTGCCGCCTCAACCAGCACATGCGCTGCCACGTGGACGAGAAGCACTACGAGTGTGAGGAATGCGGCAAGCGGCTGAAGCACCTGCGCAACTACAAGGAGCACATGCTGACCCACACTAACGTCAAGCCGCATCAGTGCAACATCTGTGGACGCTTCTACCGCACCACATCGAGTCTGGCGGCGCACAAGCGGACCCATGCCGAGGAGAAGCGCTACAGTTGCGATCAGTGCGGACGAGGATATGCGGCTCTAGATCACCTCCGGCGCCACAAGCTGACACACACGGGCGAGCGCCCCTATGCCTGTGATCTGTGCGATAAGGCCTACTACGATTCGTCCTCGCTGCGTCAACACAAAATCAGTCACACCGGCGAGAAGGCGTTCACCTGCGAGATCTGCGGCGTTGGCCTCTCACAGAAATCCGGCTACAAGAAGCATATGCTGGTACACTCTGGCGAAAAGCCGCACAAATGTCCCATCTGCGGCAGAGCCTTCACCTTCACCAGCAACCTCAATGCCCATGTGCGGCTGCATTCGGGGGAAAAGCCCTTTAAGTGTGACGTCTGCACCAAGGCATTTCCCACCAAGAAGCGTCTCAACAGTCATCTGAGAGTTCACAATAAGGAGGCGCCGGTGACGCCGGTCACGCCGCAGGCCATTGATAATCGTAAGAAAACAGTAGTGGAATCTGCCGGAGTCAGTGGCCGTGGAGGAGCAACCACTCTTCATTTACCTGATGTACCTGAAGTACCGATATCCACCTCCAAAGTTGTTGTGGTGCTCTGAGAGGGTAAGATTGTTATGGGGCTAAGCATGATGCAAAGGCGAATGCGGTACTAGAGGTCTAAGACTAGTCTAAGGTCGTACACATAATGATAATAATAGCACGTACAAGTACATGTATTGTATAAATTGTATACAAAGCGCGGTGCGAAATCAATAATTATTATGACACTGTACTATGTACATGATCTTTTTTACACTAAATTACAAAGTGATTGTTCTTTTTAATGGGCTTAAGGGGTTTCTCTGTTCATTCTGTCTGCACAATAACTTGTATAAATTTATACCGCAGCATAAATCATAGAAATTTTTGAATTGGAGCGAGATAGATATAAAATGATCCAGTATAAAGTCGACAAGAAAAGGAAACAATTATGTTTGGCCTCGGTCTAGCTCATAGCTTTTTTGTTTATAATAATGTGTGTATGTTTAATGATTACATTGCCAAAGAAAACAAAAACAAGGTACCTTAATTATTCAATTTAAAATACTACAATTATTTGCTATTGTTTATCCCAAAATAGGAACAGCTTCCATCGATTCTTAATCCAATGTGGATGCTATGCTCGTTCCTTTTGCTTGCGACTACATCTTAATTTATCTGAATGAGATCAAATTGTGGAGGAATTTGTCAGAGGTAGAAGATTTAAGGTATGAATGGTATAGTAATATGCAGTTTCAGTTTCTAACGACCCAGAAGATTTCGCGACCACTGCCTAGCCATCGGCTTAGTCTTGGCCTGTTCCATGCGTTGCGCTTCCTCCATTTGTTCGGCCAGCTTGCGTTGATTTTCCCTGAACTGGTTGATGGGATCGTCAAATTGGCGGTAGTAGTGCAGAACTTCACGCACATCGTCCACATCAGTCTGGGCAACCACTGAATACAATATAGTTTAAATAATAATAATAATGTGATATGCTCTTTAAACTTACGCTTCAGAAAGGACAGCAGGTCCATCAGTTGAACGTCATCGTCATTGCCGAGCCACCGAGAAATGCCAAACGTGTTATCTGGATGCATTTTTGTGGCATTTGCATCCCAGTCAATGACAATTACCTGAAATTCCAACAAGAGAGTGGAAAATGCAGTTAATTGGAACCGAAAACACTCCTCACTTTGCTGAGATCTCTATTCAGGTTGTCTAGGTTTTTAACATGATGCCCGTCCACAAAGTGTGTGGCGTCCCTGACCAGTCGGTACATGATATACCCATTAGGATCCAGAGCATCAAGGAGTGGGAACACGGTTAAGCCCTGCTCAGCGGTGAACACAACAATTTCAAACTCCTTGGCGCACTCGGCCAGGAAGAGATCGACACCGGGTCGTTTCTTAAAGCGCCACCCTGTCTGGTAGGTCCAGTCCGGATGCACAAGCACGTCGTTCATTTCCAGGACAAGCGTGTATCGATGCGGAATATATGGGTGCTTGTACGGATCGGGCAAGAGCTTCGACCGCGACGGTTCCTGGATCAACTTGTGGTAATGGTGCATGCTCTTCCACATTCGCTGTAAGTACTGTTGCACCAATGGCTTCTCCGTAAACTCATCCACGATGATTTGCCCATTGGCGTCCACCTGGGGCTTGCCAAATTCGTAAAGGGCCCATAGGCCAACGACCACGCCACTGCTGCCGAAGACTGCGAAGCTGCCAATGGTAAAGTGGTTTAATATTCTGCATCAGGATGGCTCCATGACCTACCCCAGCTTCATGCGCTGCCAGGCGCGCTCGTTCTCCCTTTCGTCCTCCTCTTCGCGATCCTTGCGCTCCTGCTCCTGATCTGAGCTGCTGTACATCTCCGGCGAGGTCTGTGGAAACAGTTTGGTCAGTATCTGGCTATTGGGCACTGTAGGTCCAACAGCCGTTTCTGCAGCAGCGACTTCGGTTGTGGCGGTGGCGCCTTCCGGCTCTGCTTTGAATAATACAAATAATGTGGATTAGAAGGGGTAATAATTGTAATATCGTTGAAAACTTACTGGCTGCCGAGCTATAGTCTCGGGCTGTGTTGAGCGGAGGAGGTGAAGGGATCTGCGCCGATGTGAATTTTGTTCGGTGTGGCGGCGGATTGTTTAATGCACCGTTATAACGGATAAGTGTGTGAACTCGCGACGTGCCCAGGGTGCGCAGCATTTGAAGGACAGTAGCCGGGGGCGCCATGTTTTTGTTTTGATTTTTAATGCTTGTCGTTGTGTTATTCTACCTTCAGAGTTCTGCTTACTGAGCGACGAGTTTTGTTTTATAAAAAAGATCTAATACAAATTCCACCGGCTAGAGGTGGCGAAAAACGACGGAAAAATCGATGAATCGATGATTTTGAAATTTTTAGCGACTATCGAACTGTGTAGCCACACTGGCTTATTAATCGATGTTTGAACAAACAGATCATCGATGTCTGAATATCGTTGTTCTTCCTTCTCTATTAAACGGGACATCAACAAAAACTAAAGCAAACTGTGAATTAAGTTGAATTTATAATTTCCCACTTAAGATATCACTAAGGCGTAACATAGGAAACCATGTCGATGGTTAACACTGTGGAGCTGCCGGTCGGCCTCCTTTCACTATCCCAGAACAAACAGGAAGCCGCCCTGTGTCGCGTTTGCAATGTGCCATCATCCAATTGCTTGCCGCTCTTTAAGCAACACCTTATTGCCGAAAAAGTCACGACCCTGGCAAATGTTTTGAGCTACTGCACCGGCCTGGAGATTCTTGAAAAGGAGCACTTCCTGCCCCAGCACATTTGCCCGAGCTGCATGGTCAAAATGAGGTCTTCGCTGCAATTCAAGCAAAGTGTTCACCGAATGGACAGGTTGTTGAGGCAGCGTCACTTGGATTTAAGCCCGGCAAAAACGAATAAGCTTGCCAAGGATCCTTTGCTTGAGGTTGGGCAGTCGCCAGAGAGTGGAGAGATCAGTGAGGAATATATTTATGTGGTGGATGAACACGAGGAGCACACTGAATTGAAGATGGAGAATCTGGAGAAGATAGAAACCAATCAAAAGGAAGGACACCCGATTAAAGTCGAAGTGAACCTTAGCCGGATCACAGACCCACAAGCTGAGATGCAGGAAGGTCAGCAGCTGGAACTGCAAACAGAAGGAGAAGATCTGACCAGTAACTGGATACAAATCACAGACGACGACCATGGAGTGGATGAAATAATTGAAGAGGATCTCTATGAGATTGTCGAGGAGCCAGAGGAGCAGATACTCGTGGTTGACTCAGACTTCCCAAAGCAGCCAAAGGCAAAGATCAGCAGGAATCACCACAGGAAATCCGAAAATCCCACGCTGCAGTGTCAGGTCAGTTAACTGTGATTACATTTTAATACATTTGAATTAAATTTCCCCGATTCTTGCAGATTTGCGAGAAGCAGCTAAGCACAAAACACTCCTTCAAGTACCACATGCAGCTGCATGGCACTGCCACGCCCTATGTTTGCCGAATCTGCGGCGAGTCCTTTAAAACACGCAACGCTCACGACGGCCATGTGACGCTACACGATCCTAACAATCCGAACCGGTGCTCCACCTGTGGTAAGGTGTACCGGCAGGCGTCATCGCTCCGCTCTCATATGCTCACCCACAGCGGCATCAAGCCCTTCGAGTGCACCATTTGCGGCAAGCGGCTGACCCAAAGGTCGGGCTACAAGAAGCACATGCTCACCCACACGGGTGAGAAGCCCCATTACTGTGAGATCTGCGGCCGCAGTTTCCGATACTCGAGCAATCTGATTGCCCACAAACGCTGCCACAGCCAGGAGAAGCCGCATCAGTGTCAGGTGTGCCACAAGCGAAGCTTTGGCAGTATTTCGGAGCTGAATCGCCACATGCTTGTCCACAGCAGCGAACGGCCCTTTTCGTGCAGCGAGTGCGGTAAGTCCTTTAAGCGCCAGGTCTCGCTCGGCTTGCACCAGCAGTCGCATAAGACGGGACGGAATAAGTGTGGCAAGGTGGTGGTTCACACCAAGGAGGCGGAGGATCCCGCAGAGAGCTGAGTATTCCGAAGAAGCGGTGCCTGACAGAGCTCTAGATGTATCTAATATTAATAAATGTTGGTTATTTAGTATTATCTAGTTGTTAGTTAAGTTTCATGACATGAAATGTAGATATATCAATACCGACGTGCCTAAAAGAGCCCAAACTTGGCTTAAACTATCATTGTTTAAAATATATATATCAAACGTGATAGTTGCGATATGATATCGTAATTATATTCGTAAAAAGTGATACAAATTGCAATGTTTTATTTTAGCTTGCTTTTTATTTTTGACTTCTCCTCGTGGTAAGTATGATAACAAGTTCCAAGTGTTACAGAGTTACAAAATACATAGGCTCTAGAATTAAATGTTGTTCCTCTGTTTCTCATACACTATATATAGATATAGATATATCGTTAACAATGAGGAGTTTTTGGATGCTTAGGAAATGGGGTAAAAACAATTCTCGACTTTGGGGGGTCTAACGGAAAAGTCTCTCTATACACACATGGAAGTTCTGGTTGGTGTTTTGTTTTTACTTTTTATGACCTACAAACTACTTTGAACCGATCTTACGTGCTAGGAAAATCAAAATGTAGGAGTGTGGAACGCGTCTGGGAGCGTAAGCGAGTGAGAAACCAAGCAGAGGGACTGTGTATGAAACAGAAAACAGAAAAAAAGAAGCTACTTCCGGGGCCGAAGTTGGAATATCCTTGAAGTTTGACACCATGCAATGTATACAGTTGTAATAGGATATAGTCCTCTGTTCCTCTTGGAATATGACGACTACTAATACAGGGAAAGGATACCATAGAATCGAACAGACTAACATGGCTAAATTGACTGAGATGTTTGTCGCCTTCCTACCAAAAAAATAATGCCCTCTGCAGGGGTATACAAAAATGGCGATTTTTTCCTAATCGGTCGCTTCATACATAGAATTAATGTATAAATAAATATATATAATGTTCAGACAATGTGAGTGCTTCCTATAATACTTGGCAGAGACATATGAGAATAGATCACAAGGATCACATAAATATATATGTAACATGTGGGTTGATGCAATCTGTGAGTTTAAAAACAAAAAAAAAAAAAAAAATTCATAAAATAGGGATGAAAAAAAAACATTTTGGAGGCACACATGGAGCATGGGTTCTCTTTCTCTTACATCAGGATGTGGGTCTCCCACAGTTATCGCTGCTAATCCTTCTCCTGCTGCTGCAGCAGGGCGGCAATCTCCTGGAACTTGTGCCGAAAGTCTACGCTGCTTTCGCTGATCACCGACATGCTGGATGAGGGATCCTGTTGAATAACAAAATATATACAAAATTTGCATACGATTTCACAAGAGTTGAATAGCATTTGCACCCACCAGTATATCCCTGGTGGCATCAATCTCATCCAGGTGCCCCAGCAGTGATGTTAACGAGAAGTCATTGATATTATCCTCCAGCCAACGGGCATTGGAGGTTGAGTCTCGCAGCAAATGCATCGGACTTACGCTGCCACGGAAGAAGTTTTGAGCTGTCAAGGAGCAAACGAAAACCAGTTAATACGTTCGATTAGAAGACGCTAATCATCTCACTTGTGCTCTCATCCTGAACTTCAGCAGTCGTGAAAGTTTTGCCATCACTAGTAGTGCTGGTTGCCACACAAAAATCCAGATTAGGCATATCTCGACTGCCACCCTGTTGAGTCCTGCCCTCGTCGTCGATCTGCAGTGCCTGTGGCTCCTCCTTGTCCCCTTGCCGGTGTGTATCGTTGCCTGCCGCCTGGCCAGAGGACATCGCTTCACTCTGGCCTGAATAGGAGCTGGAGCCAGAACTTATGCCACTGGAACTGTTGTCCCCAAGTCTATCGATTGGCTCAAAGAGGCCGCTATGAAGCTGGCGCACATTAAGCAGATCGTACGGACGACCGCCAACGGAAGCGGAGGGCAAAAGCCGACGCTGCACGAGCACCTGTCGACTGATCTTTTGGCGGGTGAGCTAAAGTAAAGGTAAGAAAGAATGAATTAATAACACATAAACATAACCATAAAGTATACAATGCAAATGCTGGAAACAGGAAGAAATACTCACCGCTGATAGCTGCCTTACGGGATCAATGATGTTGGCTATCGGCCGCCTCACCGGCAGCATTGGAGTACGAAAGTTGCCCCCATCGGCGCTGGTTCCGATTCCGCCGGCGGCTGCCGCATCGGCCAGCTGTTGCGCTTTGGTCATCAGGTCGCGCTTCCTGTCGCAGGTGTGGCCGCAGTTGCACTGACGTTTGCGCACACGCTCGCTGAGATTCGCCACCAGCAGCAAGTGCTTCAGCTTGTTGCTTACCGAGGATGTGGTGACGGCCTTGACGCGTTCCACGCTATCACAGTCGTTGGGATTGTAGGGCAGCGAGTTGCTTGTGGTGTTGGGAGGATTATTGTTGTTGTTGGTGGTGGTGATGGCGGCAGCAGTGGACGAGGTTGTGGTTTGCAGGGTGCTGGAGGAGGAGGAGTTGCCCGTTTGGGTGGCCACTGTGGCGGAGGTGGAATTGGCTGCCGAGGAAGACGAGTTTGTTATGGAATTCGAGGAAGCTGCTGTGGAGCCAACTGGCGGCGTATTCTCCAGCTCACACCAGTAGTACTCCAGTTCGAGCTTCGAGTCCTGCCCAAAAACCACATACAGGTCGCCAATGGTTATATCCGCCGCATTCGCCACGGTCCAGCCCTTACGGATTCTCTTGAGGATCTCATCGCTGAGCAGGGGCTTGAAGTTTCGAGCTTGGGCAGCGGCTGCCGCTTCTTTGGCTTCCTTTCGTTTGGAGCGACCCAAAGGTGCAGATGCCGGGGTGACAGGAGCTGGCGGAGGGACAGGCGGCTGAGCTTGCAACGGCAACGGAGAGGTTCGTGATGCACACGGATCTGTGTCAGCTGGTGCCTCGGTTGCATCGGGCTGAAGAGCTGGCGCTTCCGATGGTGCCTGTGGTGGATTCACTGGATTTGCGGCTTGAGTTTGAGCTGCAGCCTCTAGGTCACCAAGGAACTCCTGTATCTCCTCACCCAATTCATCGCCACTGCTATTTTCGAGCTTCACGTGATTTCCTCCCTCCAAAGGCACGTCGTCCAAGCTTTTCTCCAACGCTGGACTGGTTCCCGATTTGGGTTTCTTCGATTCCGGCGATCGCTTCTCGGAGCCACTTTCCGTCCTGGGTCTCTTGTTGGTCGTGACCGGAATGCCGGGCAGGTTGCCTAATGTCTCGCTGCGAACCTTGAAGCCCAAACGTTCCTCGTAGGCGGAGAGACAGATGTTGATACTGCTCAAATAGGCGGTGATGCTCAGCAGTGGCCGATGTATGGCCACACCAGGTCGTGGCTGGAAGCACAGCGAAGGATCCAGGGATGCAACTGGCGCTGGCACTTGCACTGGCACAGATACTGCCACTGGTGACGGTGATGGCTCTGACTCAGTGGCAGCAGCTGCAGGGGCAGGAAGCGGACAGAAGATTGACTTTTCCTCGTTCAAACGCTGATTGGCACTGCGCCATTTGTACTCGAACGTTTTGATGAAGCTGATGAGCTTCTTGTGCAGCGGGACAATGATCCTGCCGCGCGGATTCTGGGCCAGGGACTGCACCCGGCCGAAGGCCTCCATATTAGCGGGCGTCACCAGCACCTCCACCTTGCTGGGCAGCCGGATATCCTCAAGGGAATCTGCGGGAAGACGTGTTACAGCACAGTCTGGGAAATGTCGCTTATCCACTTACCATCCAGTTGATTGAGCCGTCGGAGTGCCTTGCAGGATGGCGTCTTGATCCGAATGTTCTTGCCCTTGCAGCGAACGGTGATTTGTCCATGGTAAACCAGCTGCTTCAGCTTCATGAAGTGCTTTTCGGTGAGGAACTGCTGCTTCCGTCGCATCTCGCCGTAGTTAATCAACGTGTACAGCTCCTGAGCGGGCTTCTTGAGCTCTAAAACAACGAGAGATGAAAAGTGTGCGGTGAAGGGAGCTGAACTATGTTTAACTACATAAGGGACACTGTCACTCACCTTCCGAATAGCGCACGTACTTGCAGATCTTGTGATAGGTCTGGTAGTAGTGCTGGCGAACCTGATCCTTGGTTTTGAAGCTGTAGTCGCTGCTGGCATTGCGACGCTTCAGCTTGGCATTGATGCAATTGGCCACCGCCTCGAAATCCTTGCCGAACTCGTTGAGGGCATCAAAGAAGCAGTTGCGCTCCACATTCGTCCAGGTGGTCTTCCCATTGCCGGCCTTCAACTGCGACGGCGTCTTTTGGGCGGCCTTTTCCTCTTTCTTACTGTGCTCCCGCTCGCTGGGCGGCGGCGTCATGGGCCTGGTCTGATCCTGCTTCATTTTCTGGATAACGCGCGCGCTGGCCCGCGTTCCCGGGCAATTTAGCATGGTCACTGAGCCTAGGAGCTCCTCCTCCGGCTGCAGACTCTGCAGCTTGAAGTGCACTCCCCTCGCATTCGGCAGCGACTCTTCGTCCTGAGAAAGTGCCGGGGGTAGCGGGGGCGGTGGCGGCGGCTTGCATGGGTCCTCCATGTTAGCCACAACAAATCCGCATCCGTGTCCGCAGCCGAATCCGAATCTCCGCCTGCAATAGCGTTCAGGATGAAATTAATTACTGCGTAGTCTCGCAGAAAGCAGCCAAAAATGGCGCCCGGGGTTGGTTTGTTATTGTCGGTTTTCCGCGGCGTCTGCCGAACGGATGACTTCCTGCGTCACGATCTCTAGCTAGAGAACATGGCCAGCTTCCAGGAACCATAAATCGGCTCACCTTAGTTCACTTTCGGCGTGGAAAAATGCATTTCTTTGTAATAAAAAAAGTTTATAAACTATTATAAATTGAAGTGGTGTGACCACGGTTGAGATACTAATAAATGCCGCAGTCTTCTGGATGTAAGAAATAAAATATACCAAGAGTACGCAAAATGTGTGAATTAACAAAAACATGCGTGGTCACACTAGCCAGCATTCAAAATAAATAAAGACTCAAACATTTAATTTTTTCAATGCAACTGCCGGATAGATAAGCAACATCTTTTCGATTTGATTGTAACTAATTCCATATCACAATATAAGTAGATAATAAATAAAATATGTTGAAGTAAAATAAATAAAAACCCATTACTTAATTATGAATTAACTAATTGATGTCTCAAAAATATAATCAATTGTCACACTAAAAAGATACTGTCCAAATGTCGGATAGATAATCGATATATCTTTTCGAGTCGATTGTAACTAATTCCATAGCACAATATAAGAAGTTAATAAATAAAAAATAATAAATACAAAAAATCTTGAACTTGAATAAACGAAATTATGTCTCAACAATATAATCAAGATCAAAATCAGAATAAATAGAAGTAAGAACAAATAATTAAATAAAATATCCCAGAAGGGACGACTTGACCCCCAAGGTGCTGGAAACCGAGTGAACAGCTCAGGAAAAATAAGGCCTAACGATAAAAATTAAATTAGTGATGGCCGAGTAGGCATTATAGTTAAATCGATTTACTTGGATTATCGTTAAAAAAATGTTGCCAACTTGGTTGCTAGACTTGGTTAATTGAAAGTGGCCAACAAACATCGATGGAAATATCGATGCATCGAACTTTTTAAAATTCTTAGGAACATGTTTGGAATTAATATTTACTATAAATATTTAAACTAATGCCCATTACCTTTAAGATATTGTTTTCGGACGTGACACAGTGATGCTAAAATTCGTACTCCTTAAATTCTTAACAATTGACGTAATAAACAACCTATCCTTGATACAAAATACAGGATTAATAGAGTATTTGATGTATATATGTATATCCATGGATTAATTATAGATAAGAGTAAACAAAAGTGAAAATTAAAAACCATGAATAAATGAAGTTGAGTATACATTCCAAAGATTTGTTTGTCTTTTGGTTTATTTTCTTAAATTTGTAACTTATTATTATTAAAAAAAATTATTATAAAAATAAAATGTCACATTTACATCACAAATAAATACCAACGAGGAGTAATACTAACAACACCACCGCAAGTATCACAATGAGCATTATTTTTTTCTGCAAATAAAAGCACAAGAGGTACGTTAGTAAAATTATTATTTATTTGAAATTCAAATCCCTTACCTTGCGAGCCCTCTTCTGGTGCTTCTCCGCCTGGTCCAGTTCGTCAGCACCCTTGTCCACGTACAGGGTGGCCTGTTGGGCATGGAACTCAACACGTTGGATCGTCTCGCTCTGCTCGAGGACCAGGGTCTGGATCCGCATGAACAAAGCGTGCACCTCCTCGATGGACTTCTCCAGGCGACGAAGCTCATTGAATCTGTCCATCAAATCGCGCAGTGTCTGTCGCTCCTTCTCCGTTTCCTGCAGGATCTGTAGGGGAAATCAAGAAAATCACAGGACTTTTAATCAGTAATCAGTATTTAACTATGATCAGTAGGTATCAATGAACTATGATCAGAAAGTAACTATGATTAGTAAGTATCTATGACCAGTAAGTATGTATGATCAGTTACTAACTCTAAACACTAACAAACAATGACTTGCAACTTTTGTAACACAACACATGTCTGAGACCTGCCCGGCAGAAGTCACTTCGTTCCGGGGATGTTTAAACTAGTTGGGAATTATATGCACACCACATACGCTTAAGTAACTATGAGCAGTAAGTAACTCTGATCACTAAGTAACTCTGACCAGTAAGTAACTCTGATCAGGAAGTATCAATGAACATTAATTAACTATGATCAGTAAGTATCTATGACCAGTAAATAACTCTGAACAGAAAGAATCAATGAACATTAAGTGACTCTGAACAGTAAATATCTATGACCACTAAGTAACTATGATTAGTAAGTATCTATGACCAATAAATATTTATGATCTGTTACTAACTTTGAACACTAGTAAACAATGACTTGCAACTTTTGTAACACAACACATATCTGAGACCTGGTCGGCAGCCGTCACTTCGTTCCGGGGATGTTTAAACTAGTTGGGAATTATATGCACACCACATACGCTTAAGTAACTATGAGCAGTAAGAAACTCTGACCACTAATTAACTCTGACCAGTAAGTAACTCTGATCAGGAAGTATCAATAAACATTAAGTAACTATGATCAGTAAGTATCTATGACCACTAAGTAACTATGATTAGTAAGTATCTATGACCAGTAAGTATTTATGATCAGTTACTAACTTTGAACACTAGTAAACAATGACTTGCAACTTTGTAACACAACACATATCTGAGACCTGGTCGGCAGCCGTCACTTCGTCCCGGGGATGTTAGAACCAGTTGAGAATCATATGCACAGATGTGCAAGATTTCTTTTGGAACACATTTAAGAGCAAGCTATTACAATGAAACTATTCATCTATATAATTATACTAGTATATAAGTCGGATCATGGCGAATCGGTGGACTATATATATATATATATACTTTAATATATAGACATTATATATTAATTTAAAATGTTGTATAAAATTTTTTTGAAAATCGGACTACTATGTCTTATCAAACGATCGTTATAAATTGAGGAAAATGCAAAACGGTGAATGTAAAATTGTTAATATAATATGAATTGGCGCATAAAACGAAAGCAGGCATTACTTTATTTTTTTTTACATAAAAATATATATATAATATATATATGTTGTATTAATTCCTAGTGATCAAATTTTAATCTGCAAGGCTATATTCTTATATGTTTATTTTTTTTAGCTCTTTAAAATTCCAAAATATAAATTTCTGGAATAAGTTAAATCAACTCACATTGTCCACAAAGAGTTTCGTTGTTTTATTTTCAATGAGTAACTCGATTTCTTGTTCGCTGGCCTCTGAGTTGACTGTAAAGAACAATAATAATAAAATTTTTAGTAAATAATGAAAGGATTGTATTTATATAAAGCACGCGAAACTTCAATGCAAAAATAAACAAATTTAAATTCTTTCAACAAACTAAGCCTGATGGAAATATAAAAGAATTCTTAAATACTCACTTATTTTAGAGTGTAGACGCAGATTCTTTTTGACTTTGAACTCGTAGTTTTGCAGGAAGAGTTCATTTTTATGCCAAAGATTAATGAAGGTTTGATGAAGGCCATAGAACAGGGTTCTTTTCATTCTGGCCTCCAAACTGTAGTCATTCTCCGCCGGAAGATTTGCCTTAAAGTCCTTAAATCGTGTCATTAACTGGTTTCCCAGCCTCAGATTCTTATTGTGCAGCTCACCCATCTCGTTTTCTACATAAATATCATGAATAAATTATATTACTTGTTAATATTTATTAATTTATTATTTATGCTCACCGTTGAACGTTCGCAGATTAATAGTTTGGGTCATGCGGTTCATCGCCTCCAAATTGGCGGCGATGAGAGCGAGTTGCTGCCGAATCTCAGAGTACTGAAAATAAATTAATAATATTAGTTAAAAATCAGGAAAGGATTAAACCCTGGACATATTAGCATCAAAAAGTTAAGTATATATTTATAAAATGTACATAAAAAACTCAATCAGTTGGTATTATATTATATAATATTTTATGAAATACTTCAGAACATTGAAACTATATATTATTTAAATGGTATGATTCAGAACATACTATAATTTATTTAAAATATTTTATAGAACAGCTCAGAACACAGTAACTATATATATTTACACTATCATTATTGGTATTATTGTTTAGTCATATTTTAAATAGGCTGTATATTTCACTTGACTTTTGGAAACAGGGTTTAGTTTCATTAACTTTATAGAACCAGTTTCTAATACTTTATCTTACTCATGAATGTTCTCTTCCGGTTGCCAAGCGCAAAATATTTGTTTACATTTATGGAGAGTCGAAAAAAGCCCCCCATTAATGGGAATGAGTAGTCGTGACATTTTTCTCTATTTCCATGTGAGCCCTACCTTGCGCTCTATTTCTATATTTTTCGATACCTCTCTCTTCCCTCTGGAATTTGTTGTAATCACAACAAACATATTCAATTGGAAAAGCGATTTATTTTTCTACACTTATCACGAGTTTCTGGCGTATTGAGTAATAAAGCTGATTCATAAAACTTACGGAGCCTACTGAAAACACACAGAGAGAGTTATATATTCTCTGTTTAACTCCGATTCCCACGGTATATATAAATAAATGTGTCTTAATATTAATAGATCAAGATATTGAATGTGGAGTATTTATTAAAAATATTTACAGAAATTCATGTAATTATATTAAGGAACTTATAGTATTTCGAATTTGTAGAAATATATTTTGTCATTAACAAAAGTTGTTAAGGTAATGTCCTCCTATATTATTATATTTCTTAAATATAATTCTTATTTACTACTTAATTACAAATATATATTTCAAAATATATGGTTATTCATATTAATATTAAGTTAACTCACCGGATTGAGAATATCATCCACATTGGAACCATACTGAGACATTTGGAGTTAGCCCGATCTTTGCTGTCGCCACTATTATTATTGTTATTATTTGTATTTGTGTTATTATTATTATTATTTTGACCGGATATTGAGTAGCTGTTGCCGGTGCCACCAGGGCTTGTGCTGGTCTTGTATTCCGTGGTTCCACTGTACACGTTCAGGAGCAGGGAACCGTTGGACGAGGAGTTCGAATTCGAGCTCAAGGAGCGCTAAGGAAACGGAAAATTAGAAACAATTTAAAATAGATCCATCCGATCCTAACGAACTGCAGTGAAAAACTGAGAAAAATATAAATAAATAGAAACTACCAACTGTGGTAGTTGAGTATATTTGATTTTTTGTGGTTGTTGTATATGTATATATTTTGCTGTTCACAATCTGGCGCGGTGTAAATGAACAATAAAAATGACTTCAGTACTGAAATTCACTTAGTGCTAAATGGGCATATCGGTGGGTGGCAAGGACGCGGCCGAGGGGGTTGGGTGGCGCAAAAGTGTGATGTGTGGGCCACATTATCGGCCTTATCTCTGGACAATCTGATAAATGCTTAGCACACCCCACCGAAAGCCCCGCAATAGTGGCGGCGAAGCCAAGGCGAAAAAAGTTGTGAGAAAATTGTGAGCGAATTGTTAAGAACCCAAAACAGTGGGTCCAAAAATGTTGGTAATAGGTTTTTAAATAATATTATCTGTAACAAAAATTGGCAGTTGGGAAACTGTAAGTCAGGATAACAATATGTTAAGCTGGGGTTGTAAACACAACAGTTCTACAAAGTTTATTTTACTTAGAAAACAGGGTGTAATTTAAAAGGCAATTTATTTGTTGGATAAACATAAATTAAATATGGAAAATATAAGCTTTGAATTATGAAATATCTATTTGTAAATTTTAAAAATTCCGTTTAGCTGAGACCTGAAATTCCTAACACATTTAAATCTGGCAGTTTGAAGCTTTGTTTTATTAGCAGTTAGTTTATCTGGCCAATAATCATTAACTAAACATAGAAAACCTAGATTTTTAGCATATCTAGGTAGCTAGTAAAGTAGTATTCCAGCTTTTAGTAACTTGTTCTAAAATTAAATGCCACTGTGCACATAACTAATTAGCAGTTACCTCATATTTTCTTTTGCTTTTGAATTTGCTCCACTTACCAAAAGCTCCGGCATTCGATCTCTTCCCATGGTGTGCTGGCTGTCTTCCTCTTATTTTTTTTTAAGGTGTACAAATTTTAAGTTGTTAATGATTCCTTTTTTTTTCTTAAATATATTCTTGTTGCGTTCCACTTTCAGCGACTTGTGAATTTCCTTTTTGTTTTTGTTGCTGCACTCTTGAGCTTTGTTTGCAGCCACTTGCTTTCAACAGCTGTTCGCGATTTAATGGACAATGAGAGAATGCGATTGACGAGGGAAAGGTAAGTCAAGAGCGGAGAGGAGAGAGGTGAGAGTAGAGACAAGCGCCAGCGTCACCTTATCTGTTGGCAAGCCTTATCAGCTTGCGAGCTTCCGATAAGCGTAGCCGAAATATTCACTGAATGCCCTTCAACAGAGCGGGAGAGTCGGGGGAGAGAGAGAGAGCGAGCTGGAGAGGAGCTTTTCACAGATCACCTCAGCTGCAATTCATTAGCCGCTCTTTTTGCTTGCACTACCTTCGCAAGCTTCATTACGCATTTACACTTCTTACACCTTTGCAGTTTAGTGGCACCACGTGCAAGTCATGAGTTCAGATTTATTATATTTAAAAAAGAATTGTGTTCGCATTGATTTATTCGATTTATCGGTAATGTATTCCTTTTGTGTTCACCGTGCCGCATTCGTTTTCGAACTGAAAAATCGACGCCGGGGCCTCTGAGAACTGAGAGCCTCCCCACAAGTCGCGTCGAGATTTCTTTCAATTCAAAAAGATTAAAGACAGCAAGCGGCCCTCCATGTGTACAGTGAGGCCTCCTACAGAAGTGATTTAAAATCCATGAGAAAGTATACAACTGATGATCAAGGTAAGTAATAATTAAATTTTTTTATATTTATAAGAAAGCAATTATATTTATTAGACCAACTTTAAGCTTTAGCTTGGCAACTAAAAATATTTGGGAATTGTAATGTTAGCGCAGAGGTTAAAGTAGAAATTGTTATTAATAGATACAAATTTTCCAGATTTTTTACATATTAATTAGATAAATAACAAATAATTGCTCAAGATTAGCAAAGTTCATGCAGAACACTTTACTTGGGCTTCACTGTAATCGGCATGTATGTGCGCGCTTGTGAGAGAGTGATAAAGATGAAGACCCGTATTATATTATGTGTAGTTAGTTGCGATCCACTTTTTTGTATATTTTTTTTTTATTTTGTCTCCGAATAAATCGTCATTTTGCCCCCGAAATGAAAACTGGTTGAGAGAGCGGCTTGAGGAAAATGTGTTAATTGCTCTTTATTATTATTATTATTACTTTGTATATGGTAAATATTTTTACAACCCATCTTCTGACGGCATTGTTGTATTTTTTTTTCACGCTCCATTCCGCTGTTCAATTGAAGCCAACAACAACATCAGAGCAACAATAAAGGAATAAATAAATAGAAAAAAAAAACGACAACCGTTCAAAAGTCGCTTGCGCTAATTAGTTGAACTTTTTCTATTGCGACTTTCGGTTCGTTTTCTTAGCTATAATACCGCAAATGTGCATTTTCCAGGGTAGCAGTGGGTGATATGTTGATGTAGGTCAAGGCTACTTTGATTTTTTAATTGATATTTAAAAAACTTTTAAGCTTTAATATAGTTTTTTTTATATATTTTTTGGAAAATGTATTTGTAAACAAGTATTTATTTAAAGTTTGTAGAATTTATTTTGAAGAGAATTGATTAAGCTATAAAAATTCTTTTATATAGTTTATTATAGTAGAAAATATATCATAATTTTTTTTTAATAAATTCTGACAACTGATTAAAAGGTTTAATTTTTTCTAATTGTTTTAATAAATTAAGTAAATTTTTTGACTATCTAAAAAATCTAAAAATCTTTTGAGTTTCTACACATTACTAAGATGTTAGTACCAACCAATTAATATTAAATAATAATAATTAATACCTAGTAAAAATGTTGTAGTTTTTATGATATAGGGTACTTCTGTAACGAATCCACTTTCATTTCAACACAAACTACTTGTTCTTACTGTTTTTCTCGCGGTTACAAAGCGAAGCTTTAAAAAGCCCCCATACATACATATATAATTACAGCAAGCAAAGTAACAGCAATAAAGCTTAAATAATAAATCCATCGTTAAAGTTCCCCAATATTTACATATATTATCAAGTTCAAGTTACAGTTCGACATATAGCAACTTCGGACACCTTATCTGATAAATTCTTGCGAGTATTATGTGACACTCTTAATGTCATCCACCTTTTCGTTTCATGAACTGCCTTGCAAAATAAGTTTTGATTCATTCGCGATTTTTTCGCTGGATACATATACATATTGGGATTGGTAGCCATTCAATTAGTTGGAATTTATGCATCCGTATATATAAAGTTCTATATGTATATACATATATAGACTCACTCAATGGTGATAATGTATGTATGCAAATACAGAAATAACAAATAAATTCACAACAATGACAATTTCAATTTAACTCAAGAGCAGAGAAATGGCATACAATGCATTTGAGCATTTAAACAATTTTATTTATATATTCGTAATAATATATATAGAGAATATGGGAATGTTCTATATATAAATTATTACATTTTAAAGAATATATATAAATTGTACTATTATTATTATTATTATTTTCATGGTTTCATGGTTTCTTGTGTATCGATTCTTTGGGTAATATCTTAAATAGGTTTTAATAAGGAATTTTGTTTATTTGTTTGTACTTATACATAAAGACAGTATTAATTTATATATTTATAAAGTTGGAAATTATAAAGTTTAATCATTTTTAAATATTTTTTTTTATTTATACCCTTAGGGGTATTTAAGTTTTAGTCAAAAGGTTGTAATTACGTATACGTAATATATAGTCAGAAGCTTCTTATGCTATGAAGGAGTGGTTTCCGATCCTATAAATCATATATATTCTTGATCAGGATTAACAAGCGAATCTTTCTAGCTATTTTCAAAAAAATTTTTTTTTAATTTTTTGAAAAAAAATTAAAGGGGTTACATCATTAAAATTTACAAAAATTGACAAAAATTCACATTTTTTTAAATTTTAAATTGAGTATGCAGATTTATTGAACTAGCAAAAACTAACATAGGAGTGATTTCCGAATTGAAATGAATGCTTTTTTGGCTGAGTTATGAGTTTTTTAAATTTTAATTTATTGACAAAATTGTCATATAAAAATATCAATAAATGTATCATTATTTATATAAAATTATAAATTGCTACAAAGTAAGCAATGGTTTTTCTTCAATATAAACTTCCTGTACAAGCCCCAAACTGTTTTCATATTTTCTTAACTATTTTTCCCTTTCCGCTCATAGAACCTCTCGCGAGTTGGCAGCTTAACACCTTTTTTACGCCTTTGTTTCATTGATTGAGTTGGAAAATAAAACGAGGCCGGGACAGAAAAAAAGAGGCAATATTGTCATAGGTAGTCAAGTTTATTGTCCCTTCCTTCTCTCTTCGGGGTTGGGTTTTTTTTTGTTAGTTTTCCTTCGCCTGTAGCTTTTCTTTTGTTTACAATTTGTTTTGTCATGTGTCGAAAATTGCAAATTTATGAGTTTTTGATGAGTCTTTTTGTGGGCTGTGCACAGCTCCGTCTCCTGTTGTTATTTTCTGTTTGGTTTTCTTGTTGTTTTATTTTTTTCTTCTTTTTATTTGGGTCAGAGGGGCGCACGCACCAAAACGTGAAATGAAAAGCGTGGAAAATTCTGCTGAAATGGTACGAGTTCTTATCCCCATCGTGTGTGCGCGGGCTTTTTGACTTTTGATTAAATTCGCACGCCTCAAAAAACTACCAAATATATGTGCACCTCTCACGCGGAATGTTTTCAAAAACAAAAAGAGGGAGAAAAGCTAATAAATAATAGAGGTTTCAGGTTGTGACTGAAACGTGGAAAGATATCCTGTAATATTTCTTCTCTAACCATTTAATTTGTATATATTTTAGAAAGGAAAATACAAATAATTAGGTGCTGAGAAATTTTTTAAATTGGTTACAGTACTTGCTATTTCTATTTATTTTTAAAGTGGCTTTAATTGTTATTGTGTTGTTTTTATACTTATCTAGAAATCTAAAATTTTAAAATATTTTAGATAATTTTTTTAAAAACAACATACCCTTTCCCATTCAAAGCATACTTTAGTGGCACAAAATATCGAAAAATTTCACTTTTAAAAAATAAAAAAAACATAAAAGTAAGCAAAATTCGTAAGGCCGAAATGTATTTACACTTGCAGTTTTTAATTGTTTAAAATAAACTAAATTGAAAATGCATTAATTTCAATTTGTAAAGCTTGTGCTGGTTCTTAATAAGTTAATAAATCTTTAAACTGCATTTAAAATGCAAAAAAAATTATAATTTCCCCTTTTTTTAATTTAATAATTACTCTATTGTGTGGCAAACTTTACACAAAAATTATAATACCCAGAAAGGGTATAAAACGCTGGCAAATTGCTTTTAAAGCCTTTAAGGCATGCTGCAAGTGGATGGCAAGGATCGAAGCGGGTGGATAGCCATATTCTATATGCATATAAAGATATATATACATACATCTAGATATATATATCTATATATATATACATGATCCGCAGCAATTTAAATGCGTGCCCGAAACTATGCAACGAAATTTCATATTTTTTTCCTTTTTCCATTTGCATAAAAGTCACACCAACAGCGAAAAACCAAAAACCCGAAAAAAGTTCCCTTTTCCACTCTCTTCCTTTGGCGCTTACTTTTTTTGTTGCCTTTTTTTGTTTGGTTTTCCATACATTTTTAGCTAATGCAAATTTTTGTCTAGTTGCGGTCAGGGTAAGTGTTTGGCTTTGGTGGTTGGTTTCGGGGTCGTTGGATGTTTGCTAGGAGCAGGAGCAGGAGCAGGGGGGCGGGGGGGAAAGGGTCCTTCAACATAATGTGAATTATTCATTTGTTTATGCTTCTAGTTTATGTTTTAATTAAGCTTGGCTGGCTGTGTAGGTTGTCCCAGCTCCGCCATGAATTTTGCTTTGAACCAATGGGGCGTATGAGTAATATGTGACAAAATTTTTGAGTAAATTACGTTTCTTTATTATTATTATTACTCAGGGTCAGCTAATGGAGTTCTTAAACTAATTGAGCTTCATTTATTAGCATATTTGCTTAGTTTGGCTTTTAAATTTGAATTTCTTTAAGGGTTTTTCTCATTATTTAATTGTATATTAATTTTATTTCTAATATTTCCATTTACTTGATAAGTTTGTCTATATTATGACATGGAAAACAGTTACCCAAGAAGGTAATATTAAGTAGTACAATTTAGATAATTATAGTTTATTTATGTACAATATATAAAACTTAAAGAACTTAAAGTTCAACTACACACAAAAAAGGGCATAAAAAGCAGAGCAGGCAATGAAAATTGCCAAGTCGCATTATTTATCGCATACGCATCAGGGTGCATGGAACACACACACATATACATATATAGAGGGAGAGCAAGCGGAAGGGGGCAAAACAAAATGGCGCTGCATTCATAATGGCGGTTGGTGGTTCGGTCGCTTCCTGTCGTCGTTCCGCTCCCGGCCGCATCCCTTTCCCTGTCGCATCCTTGCCCGTCCTTGCCGCCATCATGTCGCAGCGGATGCTTGGCATTTATTGCAGGCGACAATATTTTGCTTTGCCCAGCATCCTCTCAACGCCTTAACCGCCACCCTTTTCTTGTCACACAGAGAGAAAAAGGGACTTTATAGAGAATATTTTATGGAATACAAAAATTATCAAAATTAAAATTGGGAATACTAAAAAAAATACTTAAGTTT